TCATATTTCTTAATTTAAAAAAGGAATTCAGGAAAGATTAATTGAAAATAAATCAAATTTGCATTTAATTAATTAAATGCATTAGTAAAAATAATAAAACCACGTTATCGATTTATAAAGAAGAAGAATTTACCTGCCAACCCCATTTTCGAAGAACTACCGGAAGTCACGTGGCTGTACAGATCCTCTGGATCAGCGATCGTCCGATCGATCATTTGGCTTTGATTTTCATTTTGGGAAACAGCTCCTCGCAGGCAGCCTCCATTATCTTATTACACTCTTATCACACGAGTACAGTAGACCAGTTTATAAACGAGCCTGGCGAGTGTACACAGCGAGAGTCAAAAGTGAGGATGCGATTGAAACACTCATCTTGTACACAGAAATTAATGACTGGATTTTACGTGTACGAAATCTAGATTTTCAACAGCTACGTTCACGCGGTTTCTCGTTCGATCGCAATAGAAATGTGCAAGCGAATAGAAAAATAATGGTCGTAAAAGTGACAGGCTATCATTTTGTTAACAGTAAGTAAGTACTACGATCTGCCACTTGCATCTCGTTAATTCCTAATCGTTGAACAACGACGTGGTACCAGCTGAAAGTTAGACACGTTCGCACCTATGCAAAACATTTGCTTCTGATTGATTCGTTACGTACGCCTAAGTGCCCGATCACCGTGCTCGTAAATATGTAATCTCGAACTGGCAATAATACCGTCAAATCATTTACCTTTATCCGCGTTAACGTTCAACAAATTTAACGAACGATCTAAAACAGTGATTCATTACAAAGCAAACTATAAATTATCAGAGAATCATTTGTACGTTCGATAACAAATCTATCGATTAATCTAGGATTAATATATTTACCGTACGCGCATTGTACTTTTAATAATACAAATAAATTTTAAACACGTTCGAATAGCACGCAAAAATCCTAACCTAATACATATAAAGACAATCTCGGTCACGATCTTATAGATATACTCGATAAATAAAAAGAAAATTGGTAATGACTTAAGAATGAGTTCAGTTGTTTTCCTTACTGATACACCCGTTCGACTCTCGCTGTGTAGCTGCGCACAGCCTGTGTATTTAATTGCGTAATTGCACGGGTAGAGAACGACCGGGTTCACCAAACTGTAAACGCGATACCGTCGATCGCGATTCAAGAAGGGTGAAACGTAGGGGCTTGAAACCGCGAGATTCCAAGGAAGGACACCGTGTCGGGATCGTGGGGAACGTTTAACGTCACTAGAACACGCGAACTTCGATCTTTCCTCGACGGCGGCGGTAGACCGACTGACTCAACTGCGCCGAGGCAGCTGACGCGCACGCGTCCACCGATAAGCCGGGTGGGACTAATTAAACTTGTATACAGGGTGTAACTCGAGTAACTTCGCGTCGTTGCTTTTCAGTTTTCGTCGCATTTAAGACATAATAATGCAACATTTATTATCCGAATTAATTGCAAGAGAAACTAATCAGGGTATTCGATTTAAAAAAAATAAAATGTCTCTAAATGTTGATGTTTCATCAAATTCTCTATTCTTTTGGTTTTATTTCACGAAGAATATAGAGGCAACATTTACTAATTGTTTCAGCAATTAAAAGAAGTGATCGAAGTTCGTACTTTCTACAAGTCATTCATTAATCGATCCATAATGACCGCCGAATTCTTTCGAACGTTTCTACTGCCGTCAAGATATTAGTAAACGTATTTTTCGACGCATTCCTTAAGCTGGCCTTCTATCACGTTCTTACGAAGCAACCGTTTCACGTGACAAATGGAGTGTAAACAATAACTGTCAATGAGAATTATATACTGTCTGTCTTTGATTCTCAAAGTCTGAAGAACATTTTTCTTAAAGAATTCAGATATGACTTTAGTTGTGCTACCTGACGTTCTTAACAAACGTTGAACAAATGACGTGCCTGAGACAAGAAGATGCATACTGTTGCCACAGAAGATTACGTTAATCAGAGATCGCAGGATACGTTGCGTCACTCGACAATTTCATCCGAAAGCATTTTTTGTGTCAAAACGCGCACGGACGAGGAAACGTCGAATTAATGAGCGGTAGAAGAAGAATCCAAGTAAACATAGTGACTCAGAATTTTACTCGTAATACCGTTTCAACGTCATCGACGTAATTTAGATTTTCACGCAAATTCATCGGCATACAAAATTAAGTTGATTCAGCCTATATACGTGGCTTCAAATCAGTCGTTAGGAATCCTTGGGGGCCTTATCGTTAAACATTATACTCCAATTCCATAACTCTGATTCTCGTTTCTGGGTAAACCGTCATTTATGCGTCACTGATTTAGAAGACATTGGAATTTCAATATTAATATTCTATGCTAACTTATTGTATCATGTTTACTTGCTAGTCCTTATTC